CTTGCTACTAGTAACAAGAAGCTACTAGGAACAAAGGGCATCGCTACCAGGGGCTCCTGGCCTGCTACTAGTAACAAGAAGCTACTAGCAACAAAGGGCATCGCCACTAGGAGCAAGGACTTTACTAGGGGCTCCTGGCTTTACTACTAGTAACAAGAAGCTACTAGGAACAAAGGGTATCGCTACTAGGAGCAAGGACGCTACTAGGGGCTCCTGGCCTTACTACTAGTAACAAGAAGCTACTAGGAACAAAGGGCATCGCTACTAGGAGCCAGGACGTTACTAGGGGCTCCTGGCCTTACTACTAGTAACAAGAAGCTACTAGGAACCAAGGGCATCGCCACTAGGAGCAAGGACGTTACTAGGGGCTCCTGGCCTTACTACTAGTAACAAGAAGCTATTAGGAACAAAGGGCATCCCTACTAGGAGCAAGGACTCTACCAGGGGCTCCTCACCTTACTACTAGTAACAAGAAGCTACTACAATGGTGGGCAATTCCGGCCACCAGCCAAAAGGCTTGCTAGAGCAAGAGCAACTCCAGCTAGATGTATAGCTTTCGTACAACAAATCCATCCGCAGATTGCCTTGCAAGATTCGTGTAGCGGGTCCCTTGCACCTTCTCCCAGCTTCACTTCAAAATGCAGGCGCACCTTGCGGCGAGTAGGCCCGAATATTCCAGGGGCGTGGACGGACTCTATCCATGTGTCTTGTTGGAAATCATGCCAGTCAAGCACATTGCAGTAAGACCGGTGAGTGCTGGCGGTTTCTTTGTCATAGCTTGCTGGTTCTACCAGCTGAGATTTTTGGCGCAGTCGCGACATAACTTGGATTTGCTCGTTGTAGAAATGTGCAGCCCGACCTTAAGGGGATTCATGCCGCGGCATTATTGTCCTGTTTGACACCCCTTTTCTCAAGATTCACCGAGGCGAACCTCGTGCCCAAAGTAGGACAGGAGCTCTTGACACTCCTCAGCCGTTCGTGCGCCAGAGCGCAAGTTAGCACAAACTGGACATAAAGAGTTCTGCTCTCCGGGCAGAATCTAATCCGACACAAGAATTGAACATCATGTTTTTAAGCTAACAATGCTGTGGCCTCCAACCTACTTGCAATGGCCTCCAACCTAATGCGTCGAAAGAAGAAAAAAGGAGTCAAAAGAACAAAAAATAATTCAAGGAATCCAAGGTTCTGTTTCAATCCTGCGGATGTCGGCTCTGGACTGCCCAACCTGTGCCTGAAGCGAATAAAGGCGAGTTCAGCACACAGCACAGCTCGGCCTGGTAACTAAGCCGACATCAACAACTACACGTACATCAGCATTCAATCGGTAGGTGCAAGAAGATCGCACATGTTGCTCAAGCCAATGTCTGATTTGTAATATTCGGATTCAGATCCAAGAAGGGAACCCTGAATACTGACTGATTCAATCTGAACACCTCCCGCCACCCCCAACACCACACAGCCAGACACATCCACACACATACATATACCGTACATGTAAATTCCTTGGTCAATTCCTCGAACCTAATTTTAAACAAAAGCTATTAGAAACAAGTGCATCGCTACTACCGTAGTAACAAGTGCCTTACTAGTAGTAACAAGAAGCCATTAGAAACACTTTGGCAACCCGCCTCGAGATCCAAGTGGAGCCGCTGGATGCGACTCCAGCTGGTTTCGGGACCGGCTTCCCGTCCCGGTCGACGCTCAGGAGAGCAAGTGTCGTCACTGTCATCCTTACGGAAGAGTGGCGATGGGAATGACATTGAGAATGAAATAGGCAAATGCAAGAAATGTAAATTGCACCTGCATAGACCCTAGATAGCAACTAACTCCAAAAATAGAAGAAGCTGCGACAAAAATCAATCAATTCACAAAGAAAAGAGCTTCCAGGAACAAGAAGCTACTAGGGGCTCCTGGCATCGCTACTAGGAGCAAGGACGCTACTAGGGGCTCCTGGCCTTACTACTGGGAACAAGGACGCTACTAGGAGCAAAGAGCTTCCAGTGGCAGTGAGTGGGTCCAACAACAACATGTAAGACGACTGGGGAGACAAGGCAGCGGCAGCGGTAGACCAAAATGCCGATCAGCCACCCAGCATTCACAACAGCTCTCTGGTAGGAGCGTCCTTGCTCCTAGCCCCTAGTAAGAACCCCTCTAGAATAGCTTTCAGCTACGCGGGGAACTAAAGCGGCCAACAAGAAAACGATGCAAGCTTTGGCTTTAAAGCATAACATCACTGAGGTGTGCGCATCTCCATCGACTTTCTTGTAGTCTTCCTTGTAGATCATGGAACTGGACCTCACCTCACACGTGACCACATCGAGCCCACTCTTCCTCGGCGCCATTTTGGCCCGCAGCTGGAAGACATGAAGGTCAGAAGTCCAAACAGTTAAAAATAGAACGCTGAAAAATGCCCAAACAAGGGTATAACAAAGGCCGCTGATGTCATGTCCATAAAGTATACAGGGGCCTGTATTGATGAGCAGGTCTGAGTCCTCTGTGTCGTTTGATGGTTTCGATGGTGTCGTTTGATGGTTTCATAACTTGCAAAGTCTGCAAACGACTTGCCTAATGGCGATGGCCTCAAACCGATTGAACGAACTCTTGGCCATAGCTGACAGCAGGCTGTAGCAGCAGCACATCAAGAGATGGCAAGTGTTCATATCGTCGGTCTCAACAGCCGTAGCTTCCGAACCCCAAGGGAGTGGGTTGCCTCTATTTGTTCCAAGGCCACGGGCATTATTCCAAGGCATGTCAGTCAGCCAATAAAATATGGTTCGTGCTGCTTTAGATCGGAATAGGTACTTCATGCCGTTCACCCTTCCCTTGTTCATCTTTCTGTCTGACTCATGCTATATAATTCCCCAAGTTAGGTTCCCTCCAAAGAGTCCTGAGATGTCCGGAGCAAATCTCTAATCCCTCACATTGCCAAAGCTTCAGGTCGTGAATGAGGACGCGGATGTCCTCCATTGCAAGCTTCTTCGCACTGTCGAAGTGCCGGAATTCCAGCATGACATCCTCCAAAGTCCTCCAGCCATGGAAGCAGGGTTCTCACGGTGAGAATCTTCAGTCAATGAAATCAATCTCTTTCATGACACCGTTTCGGATCTCCTTTCAGGACACTGCTTTCGAAACAGGCTGATGACAAAGTGCAGCATTGACAGCGTGTTGCCAGACTCTCGTCCTGTTGTGATCTGTCCGACAGGTGAGGCAGCCAAGACAGACTGTTTAGTGATCCAACAAAACACGTCCAAACTTTGAGAGAATATCGTCACCCCAGAAAATGTTCCAACTGGGTTGACCGGCTTGAGCTTAAATCTGCCTTCCTTCAGGCTTCACTCTATTCCAGGCAACTGCGTGTTGCAGGATGTGTCATGTGGAATTGTTGGGTTCTACTCTCAGCTACGCAGGACTATTCTGAACTGTTTGGCTGTGGGCTATCTTGTGGGCTTGACATTCTTGAACTATTCAGGATACTCTTCCCAATCTGTACTTTTCTGAAGATCTTTTTTTACTCTGGGGGTTATTGTTGGAGATCATCAAAGGATTGGTTTAAACATCTACGGGACACCATTGTTTTCACCCTTCGAAACCAGGTTTCCTGTATTTTTTCACTTAAACCAATTCTGGGAGATCAAGACACCCAAGCACGACCCTGAGCAGCCCGGAGTACAGCACACATGTCTTCACTGTGACTCGATTGCCGC